TAAAAGGCTTGGATTTATGAAACATCTCTATACTCAAAATAATTTCATTCTGGAATGATGCCAGCAGTTTTCTATGAACACAGAGTGTTAAAGTTGAGCTGCTTTTGTTGGGCAAGTAGAATTTCATGCTTGTCAAATGAACAAAAGCACAGAAGTCAAATGGGGTGGTGCAATGAATTAAAAAGAAACATACTTGCCTGTAAATGCTAATATTCAGTGGTTAGAAAAATACTGAGCACAAACTGAGAAAATCAAATATTTCAATCTGGAATACAGGATGAAAACCAATTCAGGCAAATGTAAATATCCCCTTTCTCAGATAGCTACTAAAAAGGTAGTATGTATCAGAATCAAAACTGTGGCCAGTGAAAAATAGGCAATCCAGTTTTTTTGCTTCAATAATGTGATGACCTGAAATGCAGACAGTACTTCAGCTGTGGCCAAATAAGAGTTTTATACTGTTCCAGCAGAATCTCCTTGCTCTTTTATTTATGCCTCAGCTAATAAAGGCAAGTATCTCATATATGCCTTCTTCACCATCTTATCTACCTGCCCTGCTACTTTCAGGTATTAATGAATTAGCACACCCAGGATCCCTCTGATCTTCAGTATTTGATGTCATTCATAATGCAACCTTTGCCTTGTTAACTCTGCCAAGCGCATTACCAATTGAATTCCAGTTGATCAGTCCATTGATGTCATACTGCATTTTACAGCTATCCTCCTCAGTTAACCATCCTACCAAGTTTTGTGCTATCAACAAATAATCTTGATTATCCCCCTATATTTAGGTCTAAATCAATGAACACTAGAATCTCAGGATTGAGCGCTGCATAACCCCACTAGAAACTGAGCTCCAGCAGATTCCTGTATGTCAGGCAATTTTGAATCACTTTGCCTTGAATCCCATGTCGTCTTACTTCTTTGACCAGTCTGCCATAAGAAACCTTTAACAAGACTTTTTATAAGTCCATGATGACCATGTCAAATGCATTAACCTCATCAATATTCCTGGTTACCTTTTCCAAACAAATTCTCTAACACAACTTCCCTTAATAAATCCATGTTATCTCTGATTAATTTGCCTTTCTCGAAGTACAGACATATTCTGACCCTCAATTAAAGAATCTCCCCGGCAGCAAGAGCACACTGACTGGCCTATAATTTCCTGTTCTAGCCTTTCCTCTCTTTTTCAATAATGGGACAACATTAGCAGTCCTCAGGCATCTCACCTGTGGCCCAAGAGGATTTGAAAATTATCCTCCCCTCCCTCACCTTCACCCATCAGGGAAACATCTCATTGAGATCTATATATTTATTCACTTTTGGGGCTGCTAAAATTCACTAGCACTTTATTTCTCTTTGTTAATTTCTAATAGTTCATAATCTTCCTGCCAATGTCTATACTAGCATCATCCCTTGCCATTGTGAAAGCCAACCCCAAGTATTCAATGAAGTCTCTGCCCAAATCTTCCACATACACATACACATACAGATTACCTCCATGGTCCCTAATTGACACTAGTCTTACCCTGGTTATTCTCTTGCTCTTTATACATTAAAGTGAAACCTCTGTTTTCCTTTATTCCACACACCAATGATGTGTCATGGACTCTTGCCTTAAATTCCATTTTAGATGCCCCACCCCCCGCCACTTCAGGGACATTCCGTTTTTGAATCTGTGGGTCTGGAAAAGACTGACTCATCACTGGATAAATAAGTTAAAAATCTCATTGAATCTAAATTCTAACAAACAGGACACAACAGTTAATGGACGGAAACAATGATAACAACAGTGTGTTGGGCCTTTGCAGATCAATATGATACAACTGTACAACTACAAAATCAAAAATCAAAAACATTTGTGCGCACACACCTGGCCCATGTTAAATCAGCTTAAGGGAGTTTGAATACAGTTCTAACTGGACATTGACATGGGCTGTTCTGGCTGTGAGCCAAATTGATGATAACACTAAGAATCATCAACAAATCAGCCTCAAGAATCATTAACAAATTTCCTAACAGCTTAATTTCATGACTACATGCATGCACAACATGCAGGAAACTACCCCAGTGAATGAGTGTTTTCAGCAGTTGAAAAGGCCAAAAGAGGGAAAGCCATAAACATGCAAGGAGGGATGTGCAAAAGAGGGAAGGGTGATGGTGGCAGCAGGTGTAGTGGACAAATGTAATTTGCTTAGAACACTGGTATTTGAGGCTTAGATAAAGAGACTTCACCCTGCATCAAACCCATACACCTAGTGGGATTACAATACTGTTACTTCAAGTATTAAAATGCTCCATTTTTCAAATATAGGCATTATGGGAATATTATATCCAAGCTATCACTTCTGCCAACGTCTTCTCTGTTAGAGTGGTGTCAATTTGTATTCGATTACAACTATGATTTGGTGCCCATCTCTGGTGGTCTTCAAGAATGTGGTTAGATGTCTTGTACCAACATGGTCCATGTGCAGGGTTTATATCCTCCTTAGGGAAGAGTGAGAGGAGATTTAGTTGACATTGAGAAAGGAAGGTCTTGGGCAGCAACTGCTACCCAATGTGGAAAGGTTGAAGCTATTAATTTAAGGTGAATGACAAAAAAAGCCTAAAAAGGTGACAGGAGGAAATCTCTGTTCAAAGAATGCAGTATGGACCCGGAGTGCACTGCCCAAGAAGAAACAGATTCAAAGCTTTCAAAGGGGAGTTGGACGATAATGTGAACAGCAAATACTTAAGGCTACAGGTAGCATGTGCCTGGAGTGGTACTAGCCAAGTTGCTCTTGCTGACAGACACAAATGGCTGAATGGCTTTCTGTACATGAAACATTATAATCCATGAAGCACTTTAGGATAGTTTTCTGCACTATGAAAATAGCAATAAAATACAAGTTAAGAGAATTGGTCTTGGCCTTCACTGGCCAGTCAGCAATGCATTCAAAAACAAACTGCACACCAAATAAAAAAATGTAGATTAATAATTCATCCAGAAAGACATTAAGAATGCATTATTTCTGAACTGAAAAATCTGTCAAGATATCGGACAATTTACAGGGAAACCACCTCACCCAATCTAAACACCATGTTGTACAAGTACTTCACATTGCCACAGGATATCAAGTAGTAGTTAATCTTTCAGAACACCGTTAGCTATAAATGGCAGTTTTGGATCCATAATGCTCGAGTGTTCTTGGCAGTTCCAATGCTCTTTCAAAATACTGATCTGGTATAACAAATTGGCAGACAGGTAAAGTACCATAATAAGCCTTCTAATACTTCAGCAGGCTAACTAGAAACATTTGGTGGATTAATAGTTACAGTCCATTTTCACTTTTATTGCTCAGAGCTAAAAGGTTTCAGGTCTCTGTATATTGTTCTGCACAGAGTCCAACAGGCAATCTCTTGACCAGGTTCTTGGCCAGCTAAGTCTCTGACCTCTATTTTGCTTTCTATTGATAATGAACTACCAGCATAAATAAAGTGCACATCAAGAAACCTTAATGCTTGTTGGAATAACTCCACAGAGGCTGCTATCCTGTCACCAAGTCACCCTTTATTTATACATGCATAGTACTTGACACTAATCCAGCTTCCTCAGAGACTGCGCTCAGTGAACAGGATATCAGCCAAGGGAAATCTGATTGGACAAGGTTAACAGTCCTAATCAGAGAACTCAAACTGAGGTCCACTTGGCTGACCTCATTACAAATCACTACATTCGCCGCCACCCTCTAAGTTTGGGGACATAGGCACGTTCTTTTCCTTGTAGCCTCTTGGGGCATTTTCACACCACAGCTGGTTCCTCACGATCAGCGTGGCACATACCCAACCATAGCCCACCTCTTGCACTTGGAGTGTCTCAAAAGAAATTCATCCTCTTCTTCAGGCGGCTAAGGTGTCGAGGTTGCAACATCCACTGTGTCTGACTCAGACTCCAATGTTTCTTCGATGCTAGATGGAAGGGAAGAATTCATGGGTCCCAACAGTCTTTCCAGCTGCTATGGAAGGCCAGGTGTGTTTTCCTCCTGCCCAGTTTGAGTGTTTGCAGCTTTCATGTGGTCCACATGCTTGTTCAGGACCGCCTCACCTACCTGAACTTTGTACATCACAGGACGTGACCTCGTGTCGACCATGCCTCTTTTCCATGCAGCGTCATTTCCACGGTTTCAGCGCCAACCTTCATCCACTGAAGTAAACGCTCGCTTAGCAGAGCCTTTTGTCTGCCCCGCCCCAATTCTAGTTGTGATGGCCATTTTGTATCCCCCATCATCACCTGCTCTTTTAGTTTTGCAGGACCTGACCTTTTTGCATCTCCAGACTGATATCAGCAGTGATTGGAAGGGCGTCCAGAAATTTTAAAAACCAGAAAAGACTCTTTCAGTGGTGCCACCACCAGTGGTGTATCTGCCAACAGGAGATGGCTCAAGGCATCCACATTTGCTACTTGGCCTCCCGGATGATGCTCAAACTTGTAATTGTATGCACTTGGAATGAGAGTCCACTGGTGAATTCGACTTCAAGCTACGGGTGGCATGGCTTCGTCCTTGGAGTAGACCTAGCAGGGGTTTGTGGTCTGTTACTATTACAAATTTGTGTGTTAACGTATTGGTGCAACTTTCTCACACCAAAGATGACTGCCAAACCTTCCTCCCCTATCTAGGCATATTTGCGCTCAGCATCAACCAAAGTCCAGGAAGCATACATTAAAGGGTGTTCCTTTCCAGTGGGCCATCTGTGAGCCATCACTACCCTGATACCGTACAGGGAGACAATGCTCATATTCTATGAGGTCCACCTGGCTGGCTGTGTTACAATCACTATACTTGGAAAGTCAATTCATTCAACTATCTTTTGAACCACAAAGCTGAGAGATTTTCTTGGATGTTTTAAAAATTCACACATCATCACTTCAATAATGGCACTAAACGTAACCCATCATATACAGGAATGTGCCTACTCATCACGGACATAAAAAGAAATATCTGCACAATAGAACTTACCATAACCGTACAATCTTCTGAACCACTAGCGATAACGTGGTCATTGTGTGGACACCACTCAATGTCCAGCACTGGTCCTGTGTGTCCACAAACTGTCGGATATGCCTTGTCAATTCGGCCAGTCTGTGGAGAGAGAGTGGCACATCATTATTTGTTTCAAGTACTAATACCAATACTAATGATTTCTGTAAGCTCCAAGCACATGAAGCTTGCTGGGATCTAGCAATGAAACCATCCAGACATCACAAACCAAATTCCAGTTATTCTAGTGCCACATCAACGGTCGGGGCAAATTTCAATGCAGTTATTCTACTGGAAAGTACCCACGTACAAAGTGCTCAAAACGAAGCAATAAACTGGTCATACCTGACACATTGCAATTACTATTATGACAAGTGCTGGCAGGGGATGCACGTATGATATTACTGTTTCAATACAGGTAGAGAACAGAAAGTATGGTCTGCATTGCACCTCAGTTAAGTGAATAAAAATCATAGTTATTCAACATTTTGAAACCAAACATATGCAGTCCCAGCAGAAATACTAATGTAACATGCAAACCCAGTGCAAAGCAAGTGAATGACAGAAGCCAACTTCTACGAAATTGAGTTCCTACTTTCCCCCCGCCCCAAAAAGCACATGATGCGTCAGTTGGTAGTCAAGTCTTGACCTATGTACATTGTATTTAGAATTTATTACACTATGCAGGATATGTTTGTGTTCATGCGTATATTGGCCAGCAGCACAAAGGCGTATCAGTACTAGTATATACCCAACACAGAAGTGCAAGGTAAATGGTGTACATGAAAACACTCGTAAGCGGAAAACAAGTCACTACCATGTGTGTGTTTTGGCAATACCTTAAGCTGTCTTGTGTGCTAATTTCCACTGTGCTTCTTCATTCATTCATGACCATAAGCTCTCCTCACCACATAGCTCCAGAATGTGGACTAACCTCTAGATAATCCCCCACCTGTCACTGAACTGGCTGTCAGAAGGTTCACATATGGGGTTCAGCGATTCTTTGAAAGCCGTACTGTCCCCAGTCCTCCATTTCAATTGAGAAGCATCTAAGAGCTTAATTCAAGTTCAAATTAAGTTACAATTCCCAAATGGACACATGGCCCGAGAAAGGTATTTGACAAGGAACATGGCAGTCACACAATCACACCCACAACCACTTACGGCATGTAGCCAAGAACCAGACAGTAAAGAGGTTTTGGATTGCAAAATTCTGCTTCAAATGACTGTGGAAATGAAATTGAAAGAAGCTCAAAAGGCATTAAATATTAAGCATTGTAACTCGATGCTGAGTTACGAAGGCTGATTAGCTCTATTAAGACATGGTTGGTAAGATGATGTATGAAACACATTTTGTCTTTGAATCAATAACATCATAATCCACACAATGATAATGACCACCTTGTAACAGTCATAAAGAAACTCAACTGAATTCACCACAAACAGTGCCTACAAGAGCAGGTTAGAGACTAGGAATACTGCAGCATATAACTCACCTCCTGGCTCTCCAAAGCCGGTCCACCATCTACAAAAGGCACAAGTCAGGAGTGCAATGGAATACTCCCCACTTGCCCAAATGAGTGCAGCTCCAACACAAGCAGCTTGATACCATCCAGGACAAAGTAACCCATTTGATTGATACCACATCCACTCCCTCTACCACCGACTCAGTAGCACTGTGTATTATCTACAAGATGCACTGCAAAAACTGAAAAGATGCTCAGACAGCACCTTCCAAACCCACAATCATTTCCATCTAGAAGGATAAGGGCAGTAGATACATGGCAACACCACCTCCAAGCCACTCACCACCCTGACTTGCAAACATATCACTGGCCCTTCACTGCTGCTGTGTCAAAATCCTCAGTCCCTTCCTATCAGCATTGTGGGTCTACCTACAACACAGACTGCAAATGGTTCAAGAAGGCAGCTCACCATCACCTTCAAGAACAACGAGGGATGAGTGATAAATGCTGGCCCAGCCAGCGATACACATCCCATGAATGGATTTTAAAAAAAAAGACTGCTCTCCAGGCTCTCTCAGACGAACCGTTTCTTCTAGCTTCTGAAAGCTGCCACCCAGGTGGATAGAGTTGTTAAGATGGCGTATGGTGCATTAGCTTTCATTAATAGAGGGATTGAGTTCAAGAGCCATGAGGTTATGCTCCAGCTATACAAAAGCCTGGTTCGGCCACATCTGGAGTATTGTGTCCAGTTCTGGTCGCCTCATTACAGGAAAGATGTGGAAGCGTTGGAAAAGGTGCAGAGGAGATTTACCAGAATGTTGCCTGGAATGGAGGGAAGGTCTTATGAGGAAAGGTTGCAAGCGCTAGGGCTTTTCTCTTTAGAACGATGAAGGATGAGAGGTGACTTGATAGAGGTATACAAAATGATCAGAGGTATAGGTAGAGTAGACAGCCAGAGACTATTTCCTAGGGTGGAGGTAGCTATTACGAGGGGGCATAGTTTTAAAGTAGTGGAGGTAGATATAGGGGAGACGTCAGAGGTAGGTTCTTTACTCGGAGAGTGGTAGGGGCGTGGAATGCATTGCCGGAGAGGGTAGTGGAGTCGGCCTCATTACGGGCATTTAAGCGGCTATTAGATAGGCATATGGATGATAGTATAAAAGGTAGGGGTGGAGGTTAGATAGACCTTAGGATTAGGGTAAAAGTTCGGCACAACACCGTGGGCCGAAGGGCCTGTACAGTTCTAAGTTCTAAGTTCTAAGTTCTAAGTTCTAAGTTCTAAGTTC